CACAACTGTGGCGTGTGGCTCCTGCTCCAGCTCCGTCTCCCGCAGCAAATCCCCCTCTTCTGCGCCGAAAAGCATCTTCACCAGGTCATCCGCCTGCACGCGTTCCTGTGGGGCAGACCCACGGGGATGAGCATGGCCATCATCCTCAAAAAAAACCTACCTGCTGCCAGGGTGGGAGCTTACCCGCTCGCTGTGCCGAGGGTCCAGGGTGAACCAGAGGGCGATGGCGCAGCGTTGGCCCTTGGTCACGGCTTTCACCCCGTGGGGGTTCTCCGAACCAGAGGAGAAGCCCACAGCACGGCCGCACTGTGGCTGAACCTCTGCCTGCAATGGGAGACCGGGTCAGCATGCACTCAGTGGGCGAGGGGACGAGTTGGTCCTCCTCAACCCAACTTCATCCCTCGTGGTGGCACAGGGGATGGGGCCAAGAGGCAGGAGCTGGGTTTGGTGCGGCATGTGGATCCTCAAGGAGCTCAGCTACTTACAGTCTCAGTCTTGGCATCCAGCTCAGTGAAGTAGAAAGTTCCTCCTTCAAAGTCTCCGTTGAGGTAGAGGATGGCACTATAAAGCACGCAGGGGACAAGCAGAGGTGACAACCATCACCACAGCTCCAGCATGCAGGTGAGTCTGGAGCTCCCCCAACACCACGGTAAGAGCCAGAAGCAGGAGAGCCTAGGCTGCGTTGTCCTCCCACCCTGCTCCTCCCGACCCAGGTGCCACCAAGCAGCGGTGCCATTCGGTGGGGAAGCTCTGGCTGATAGACACCACCAATACCTGTAATCCCGGAAGGTGTAGGCTGGAGGTTCCTTCACACACACCAGGGCCTCTGCGTTGAGGATGCAGTTGTCCACGTGCACCTCATGACTGTTGTCACTCCGGCCTTCTTGCTTCTCTAGGGTGGAACAAGAGCTGGCACAGCAGGACCCTTTGTCCCTGCAGGACCAGGGTCTGTCCCCAAGTGTCACGTGCTTGGAGCTGTAGCCTAAAGCCCTTCCACTCGCTTGTCCCTTGGCATCTCCATGGCCCTCCAGACACAGCCCCTCCCAGCACCCGATCCCAAATGCCTCCGAGTGCTGAAATCCTGCATGGCATGAAGCCACCTGCCCCGCGGGAGGCAATCAACAGAGCTGCTCATCTTCCCAAACTGGGCTTAGGGACAAGCTCCCCACACCTTCCTTTTGGGAAAAGGAGCAAGTTAGGGAGCAGCAAGGAGGTCTCCAAGGAAAGGTCCAAGACCGGACCACCCCAGCTGTTGGAGGGGACCCAGACAGGACAAGAGACTGAAGGAGACTTGCTTCTCCTCGGGTTGTGCTCCTCTGAGGCCATGCTCACCGTCGATGGCCGTGCGGCACACCAGGTGGGAATAGGAGAAGTGGAGCGGGACCTCCAGGCGGAAGTAGGACTCCATCATGTGCCGCACCTTCTCTGTCACGTTGTAGTAGAGGTAGGCGCTCTGCAGGGGCACCTTGCCCTCCTGGCCCAGCTGCGGGGCATGGACAGGACACAGGCTCAGCCCCAGGCGCCCTGGGCAAGCACGGGCAGCTGCCTGCCTTCAACCTGCCCCCGCCGTGTCTCCACAGCCTGTTCCCCGCCCTGCAACCATGCCAACCTTGAGGGCCTTGAGGACAGTCACGCCATAGAAGGTCTCACTGGGGGTGTGAGGAGATGTCTTCCCACGATAACCGTCCCCGGCCGAGGCAGCTGCCTGCAAAACCCAATCAGCATTATCGGTCTGACTTCTGAACCGCAGGATGGGACCCTTCATCTGCTGCTCCCTCCCTGCCCACTCCTCCTGTCCCCACACGCACGTTGGTGAGTCTCTGCAGCTCCCGGCACTCCTCAGCAGAAAGGACTCCGTCCACCACAACGCGCTGGGAGCCGTTCAGGGTCTTGGAGTTCATGGTGACACTGGCTCCTTCATACACCAAGGGGCCACCTGTGGCACAAACGGGATCAGAAGGACACAGGGATGGGTGCCACCAACCCTGGGAGAAGCTATGGTCCTGCCAGCTGCTCCTGCCACCATCCATGTGGAGGGACAGTGAGCTGGCAGCAGGGGACATGGAGGTCCCCATCCCACTTCCCCTCCTGGCCCTCCGCACCTTCTCGGATGAACTTGCTCATATCGGCAGACTCCTTGGCCTTCTCCTCCACCAGTGTCTCGATCTCCTTCATGAGGTTGCCGATCTCCTCTGAGATGCGTGCTGCTGTCTCCCGCTCCACCCTGGGCACGCGGCAGCCATCAGCTCCACTACCCCACTGTCCCCATGTCGGGAATGAGGGGCACCAGGACAAGGGCAGGACAAGTTGTCTCCAAGGGCCAGTGACAAAGCCCAAGGCTGGAGAGAGTCATCTCAATGCATCCCTCACCCTGAGCTGCTTGCGATGACCTACCCATCCCCATCGCCCCAAGGGCTGATAGGGAGCAAAGTTCTGCCCTCCAGCAGCCTCTTCCAGCCCCAACACCAAAAAAACCTCCCTGGCAGCAGCTCCATGGCCACAGCCTTTGGCCCAAACCCCACGGAGGAAGAGAGGTATGTCCCATCAGTCCCACCGTTGTGTAGGCTTGGCCATCAGCCTGGGAGAGTACTCACTTTTGTTTCTCCCGCAGCCTTTTTGGTATCACCTCTTCAGGAGTCCATGTGTCCTGCAGTCAGAAGAGCAACATCAGAAGCTGGACGACGATCTGTCTGGGACACAGACCCCTTGTCCCCTTCCCATCTGGCCACTGCGCCCAGCCTGGCCCAGCACCACTCACCGGGTCCACGAAGGGGATGCCAAAGACATCATAGCTGAAGAAGAGCAGCTCCTTCTCCATCAGGCTTCGCTGGTGGTACGCCTGGATCTCCTGTGGCAAGGGGCAGAGGGACAGGTGAGGACACGGCACGAGGGCTCTGGAAAGACCCCGAGCGAGGGCCGGAGGGTGCTGGGTTTACATCATTCTGGTCCTTGCTCCAGACCCTCAGCCCTTGTTTCCCGGTCCCTCTGGCAGCCAGGAAGCAAGTGGCTTTCCCCATTGTGCATGAACTTCCCTGTCCCGTGTGGATGAGCCCTGGGGCGAGGACGGGGGAGGCAGAGGCACAGACACGTTCATCCTGCAGGAAGCTCTTTGGAAGCAGATTCCCTTCCCTGCTCCCCCTGACATGGGGCAAAGACCTCCATCCCTGCCTACTACCTCCCAGGCAGCATCTGAGCATCCGGATCCAGCTATTTTGAAGCCAAATTCTCTCATTTTTAAGCAATTTCAATTCAGTTGTGGAAGTCTGTAGCAGAGGTGGGCTCAGATCCTCCTAAAAAGTCTGTCCGTTTGCCTCTTGCAGACCTCTCTCACAAGAGCTGGTCCATTTGTGCAAGTCATCAAGCCTTCACTTGGCCAAAGATATTTTGTCAGTCATGTTTTTCAGTCTCTCAGCTGTTTTCCAGGTTGTTGGGTCTTGCATCCATCCACTCCTCTCCGCCTTGCCACTGAAGGACCAGAGCAGACCCCAAAACCTCTGCAAAGTTTACGAGCCCTAAGAGGGGAGAAGATGTCCCTGCAATGGCTCATCCCAGCTCGTCGCTCACCTCTCGGGGTTGGATGGGTCCTGCCAGGTTTTCCCCCAGGACAGCGGTATAATAGGCCAAATTCTGGTTCATCACCTCATCATTTGGGAAGAAAAGCAAATAGGTCTTGGCACATTCAATGGCTTTTTCGTAATTTCCGTCTGCAAAGAGAAATGGGGCTGTTATGGCAGGTCCAAGAGGATCAGAGACAGAGCAAACATGGATATGGAGGAGAAACAAGAGAGAAAGTCCTTGTTGTTCTCCAAAGGGTCTCCCAAGTAGGGCAGATACCCTGGAGCAAAGATTACTCCTGCCATGAAAGCAAAATTAAGAGTCCAAGGCGCTCTTCTGCCTCCAGAAATCACCTCACCAGAAATCAGGGCCACTGCTTGGGTAGTTTTCTTGCTTGGAAAACACCTTGAAGCCTATTTCCAGGCAGCAAGACGCAACCATTTCCAGGCTAACCTGCAGTTTTCAACTACTTAGGCACCATGACCCACTTTCTGCAGGAATCTACAGGATTGCAGCCTTTCAATCTTCTTTGACTTCATTTTTTTTCCCCCTCCTTTTGGAGAAATTTGCACAGAAACAGTTTAGATTTTTCTAAGGAGGTGAATTAAAAAAAAAAAAAGGGGGCATATATTTGCCTGGGTTGTAACTGACTGTTCTGGAGAGGGAGGGTGCCTCTGTGGTTTGGAACAAGAGGTGGATAGCTGGCAGGAGGAAAAAAAATGCTCCTCTAGGCTGTTATTTCACTTGGAAATCAAAGCTGCCCAGGAATCAAGCATCTAAAGTGACATGGAGGGTTCTTGCAACCAGGCAAGGGAAGATCCAGCTCTCTTGTGCCACATTTCAGGCTGGAGGAGTGGGGCTGTGTGAACCTCATGAAGAAGGTCAAATGGAAGGTCCTCTACTGGTATCAGTAAAGACTGGGGAATGGATGGGTTTAAAGCAGCCCTATGGAGAAGGACTTGGAGATACTGGTGGACAAAAAATTGGACATGAGCTGGCAATGTGCGCTTGCAGCCTAAAAAGCCAAGAGTATCCTGGGCTGCATCACAAGAAGCTTGGCCAGCAGGTTGAGGGAGGTGATTCTGCTCCTTTACTCTGCTCTCATGGGATCCCACTTGGAGCACTGCGTCCAGCTCTGGGGTCCACAGCACAAGAAGGATATGGATCTGTTAGAGCGGGTCCAGAAGAGGGCCACGAAAATGGTCAGAAGGCTGGAACACCTCTATGAAAAAAGGCTGAGAGAGTTGGGGTTGTTGAGCCTGGAGACAAGAAGGCTCCACGAAGACCTTCTTGCAGCCTTTCCATATAGAAAGTGAGCTTATAAGAAGATGGAGACAACTTTTACCAAGGCTTGTAGTGACAGGACAAGGGGCAACTGTTTTAAATGGAAAGAGGGTAGGTTTAGGTTGGCCATAAGGAGGAAATTTTTTATGAGGGTGGTGAGACACTGGAGCAGGTTGCCCAGAGTTGTGGCTGCCCCATCACTGGAAGCTTTCAAGGTCACGCTGGATGGGGCTTTGAGCAACCTGATCTAGTGCAAAATGTCCCCGCATCTTGGGTTGGACCAGACGATCTTTGAAGGTCCCTTCCCAGCCCAAACCATTCTGTGAGTCTATGATTTCTGCCCATGAAGAAGGGCCTGTGCAGAGCACAATGGCCAGCGTCAAAGGCCATTGGAGGATGGAGCAACGAGCTGCTTACTGTTGTAGTAGGCAAACTGCAGGTAGTTGAAGTGCGAGGGCAGAAAATCCTCCAAGGGCTTCTCCCGGCCAGGCTGGGAGGCCAGCTCCGTCACGCAGCCCTGCTTGCAGCTTAGCACCTGCATGTAGTGATCTGGTGGAGAAAAACCCAGTGTCACTGCACATGGTCATCCAAGGAGTGGTAAGACAGGACCTTGGGGGTCTCCACCCTCCTGTTCACAGCAGGGCTGTTGATAGTTTTTTGGTGGTGGAAACCCACAAGAATGGTGGTTGCCCACCTCTGTGCGACCAGGGCTCTGCTGCTCCCTGGGGAAGGAGTGACCATCCTCAGCTTCCCACCCCTGCATCCTGATGATCCTCTGCTGGTCCCTCTCCTGTTTCTCCACATCCCTCTGGAATTTGGGGGGCTCCTGGGCATCAGCCCCAGTGCTAAGCGCAGGCAAACACCTCCTGCCACTTACTCCTTACTTAGGCCACGCTCCTCCTAGCGAAACCTAGGATGGGGTTTGCCCTCTTTGGGGACCCATCACCCCCGGGCCTTTGGGGACCTCTTCGGGGACCAGCACCCCCCAGGATTGTCCCCAGCTCTTGGGATGGGATGCAGCACACGCGGCTCCCACCTGTGATGGCCTGGAAAAGGTCTGCGTTGTACTCCAGGTAGTTGTAGCCCTCATAGTCATAGGGTCCCTCACAGAGCGCACGGCACTCAGCGTCCGCAACAAAATACTCCTCCAGCGCCTTCTCCAGGTGCAGGATGGCGGCAGCTGGCTGCTCCTCCGTGTAAAACCGCACGCCCAGCCGAAACTCGCTCTGCGGAGGAGTGAGAAATGATGGGGGGGCTCAATGTGACAGAGGACCTGGGGCACCTTGTCTCCACGGGACGGACGTCAGCACCAAGGTGGCATCTCACGAGCTTGCTGAGCCAACAGCTGTGGTGTGACCTCCCCAGGTCCGGCAGCGGAGGGGTGTTTTCA